AACCGCAAGCTCTTTGGGAAGGAAATGAGCTAATGCTTTACTGACCTTTGATTTTGGAATATTAATTAGCTCATCATAATGCAAGCCTATATGAAACATAAGCACTTGAAAAACTCCACATAGCACTGTTCACAAACAGAGGACTTGAAGAGCCTGAGAAGGATGGAAATTCCTACCTGTGGGGGCTCGATGCATATTCTGCAAATAACTGTTCAGAAGTTGGGTATGATCCAAGAGAAGGAGCATGTCCAGGGAGGGGAACAGAGCTTGGGAAGGGTCTGGAGCACAGTTTCTGTGAGGAGTGGCTGAGGGAGTTGGGGGTGTTCAGCCTGGAGAAGAGGAGGCTCAGGGAGACCTTATCGCTCCCTACAACTCCCTGGAAGGAGGGTGCGGGGAGGGGGAGGGTGTCGGTCTCTTCTTCCAAGGGACAAGTGTTGGAACAAGAGGAAATGGCCTCAAGCTGTGCCAGGGAGGTTTAGGTTGGATATTAGGGAAATTCCTTCCTGGGAAGGTCTGCCAGGCACTGGAAGGGGCTGCCCAGGGAGGTGGTGGAGTCCCCATCCCGGGAGGGATTGAAGAGCCGTGTGGATGAGGTGCTCAGGGACATGGGTTAGTGGTGGGCTTGGCCGTGCTGGGGGAATGGTTGGACTGGATGGTCTTAGCTGTCTTTTCCAGCCTGAAGGATTCCGTGGTTCTGTGATAAGTGGGTTTACCATCAGTAATGAGCAGCGGTTCTCAGGAGTTTCCTGAGAAGCACCAGCTATAGTAGAGAATTTCCCTTTCCAAGGTTATCCCCTTGTCTGTAGGTTGTAGGGAAATAGGGATCCACTGCACACTTCAGTGGATTCATGACTGAGATGCTTGGAGCAACCCACAAAGGAAACTCGATAGAGTTTTGCAACTTAGCTCTTGCAGGATGGTGAGTAAAGCCCTGTGTAACACTCCTGACTCCCTTCTTTCCAAGGGGTCCTCATGTTTTGTCAGTGCATTAGCTGGGAAGACAAAGCTTTTAGTGTACAGACACAGAGGAGTTTCCACCATCACTGCCTTTCTTCCCAGCTTTCTTTGCCATCTGCATTTGCAAGCTTTGGGGGGAATTCAGCTTGATTATTAAATCACCTGATTTCAGGTGCTTAACCTCGTGCCTTTGGAGCCTCTGAGCTCTGTTCATCATGAACACAAACCTAGTCAGTATGGGTAGTGAAGTCTGGGGAGCAGGTCAGCTCACCCCGAAGTAGGCACACCTCCCCTGATTTTCATCAGTTGAATGTTCTCCAGGCTCCACTATATTCTGTATGTATATTTAGACGCTCAGCTAGCACACAGGCACCTAAATTTGGATAGCTGTTGTTGGGAGGTCAATCATACCCCACCCACCCCTTCCTCTGGACCATGATATAGGGTGTGTTTTGGATGTTGGTGGTGTTCTGAAATACCGGGCATGGGTACACGCGCCCTGGCAGACGTGGTTGCTTTCATATAAGATGTGAGTGCGGAAAGGAGATATGTGTCTCCTTGAAAGAGGAGAAAAAGCTTAGCTTGAGAGAAGCTACGATATACTCACTTTGTTACTTACATAGTAGATGTTTCCTAAATGCCGAACCCATTGGCCTAATTTTAAATCCGAACTTTTTCCAGGATGATATCTACATGTATGGTGGAAAAATAGATGCGACAGGGAACGTGACCAGCCAGCTGTGGGTGTTCCACATTCCCACGCAGACCTGGACTCCAGCGACGCCGAAAGCCAAGGAGCAGTACGCTGTGGTGGGCCACTCGGCACACATCGTCACTCTGCAGGATGGCAGCGTGGTCATGCTCGTCATCTTCGGGCACTGCCCCCTGTACGGCTACATCAGCAATGTCCAGGAATACAACCTGGGTGAGTGGGGCCCTGCCCTCTTTGGAAATTACTTAAATGGTCTGTGTTCACACAGGAAAACAAAGATACCTTCTTCTCTTTGTACTTGTGAGAAGCTCAGTCTGTCTTCCAGCGTTTGTGTAACATGGAGAGCAGACAGACATGAGCCTCCAGCTTTATACAGCTTGTTAGGTCCCAAAGACGAAAAAGCTGCCACTGAGGGACAAAGCAGGGTAACTGTGGGACAGTTTAGATTAATTCTATCCCTCTAACAAAGCACACACTTTGAAATTGTCTTTGTGTCCTGCCAATACAAGAGTGGCTGTAAGAACTCGGACCAAGTATCCACTTAACTGATGCACCTGTCTCCAGGAGTGGTGATTAGCCAGTGCTTAGGGAAACAGGAAGGAATTTCTGGACTCCTAGATCTCGGATATGATCTGGTCCCTGTATCTCTGGGAATAGTCCATACTTCAGTTTTAGGATCCAGAGGTTTCCAGCATCACCAGCTCTGCAGAACAGTACTTCTCCCTAACTTAGCTGCCTTGAAATGGCTCTCTGGAGGCACATCCCTTGCTCCATTGAACAGGTAGGGACATAGCTAAACACAGAAATTCACAACATGAATGTGCTGATTATTATTAGAAACAGTGGCCCTATCTGCACTTTAGAACTGTTACCCTTGACCTTCAGTCCTCTTGATCCAGAGGATCTGCTGGAGCCTACCCTGACTCACTGGTGTCCACATGAGTGAGTCATCTCCCACTAGGAGAAAGCAGGAAAAAACCAGTGTGTGTGGGGCAGTGATTTATTTCCCTGCTGGTCTGTTTTTCCTACGTGTGCTCTTGCAGACTGCTAACTTCCCTTGCCTTTGGTGTGCGTGGCCTGCCCTGGAGGTAGGAAGCCTGTGCAGGGTTTCATTCTGCACGTGCTGCAGCGAACTGGTGTGTAATTTGGCATTTTTGTTTCAGTTGCCATTATCCTATGTCTAGAGCCCTTCAAAGCAATGTTATTTTGGCGAGTGAGGTACAGGACCATTAATCACATATTAGTTTCTAACTGTAGTGGTCTTCACAGTTGTACTTAGCTTGGCTTCAGGGCTGTCTGGCTTTATATACGTATACAATAAAAGTGCTCTTGGGTACCATTCCAAACCAGGCCACGGTGTTAGCATTTCCATGCCAGTGAAATCAGTATATTTATTTCTGTAATTTTTATCTCCCATTTACTTAGCTTGTCCGCAGAATGTGATAAATGGCTATAGAGGGGAGATTTCTGGTCTAATTAAAAATATTTGACAATACTCCTCAACAACAAAGGAGATAGGAAGTGATAGAGCCGTTGTCTTGGTCTGAGTGGAGGGAAATCTGATTTGTCTCACTGGGAGATTTGTTGGGAAGTTATGACTGGAGAGACATTAACCGTGTGTTGTTGCTCACATTTGTAATTTCTCAGCCACAAATACCTGGAACATTTTACAGACGAGCGGAGCTTTGGTGCAAGGAGGTTACGGCCACAGTAGTGTTTATGATCCCAGTACGAAATCCATTTATATCCATGGAGGGTACAAAGCGTTCAGCGCCAACAAGTACAGGCTGGCAGACGACCTGTACAAGTATGAGGTTGACTCCCGTATGTGGTGAGTAGCTGTTCTTTCCCTGTACCACCCTGTCGTTTGTGCTTGTAGCAGGGTAGAGGCTGGGGCATTCGATGGGGGTATGCGAGTGCATTACCTGCCTCCAGGCGAGGCAGTGTGCTCTTGCACCCATTATTTCTATATCCCGTTATGAATAGGGAATCATAATCACATATAATGAGGCTGTGAACGAGCCAAGGAATCCATTTTAATCTATTGTTGTATCAAAGCTAAAAAGAAAAATACCGGATGGGCTTTCCTTGCCAGCAGTGCAGACTGCGCACACGGGCGCGGTTACTGCAGTCGAGTGAGGGATAACTCATCACGCAGTTAAGACTGCAAAAGAATTTCTATTATAACCGCATCTTCCTCTGGCTCTGTAACTGCTTGAAGTGTTTGTTTGCTTGAAGGTGAAATCTTCTGTGGTTTGTTTCTGCCCAAAGGTAAGGTTTATTTAAAAGCTTTAGCAAAACTTCACAACTTTGGGCTAGAGGGGTGAAAGACATTTGTCTCAATTTTGTATTTTCCTCAAATTGTTTTGAAAGGCTCCTGACAAAAAGGAGACAGCCTTCGGAGTTAACACATGCCAGTCAGTTTGAGTCACCCTAGTGTCTGGTTTGGGGAGTTTAAAATAGCCTGTATGTCTGCCACAACTGTTTGGGAGTCTGTACTGAGGAGTAAGGTAACCAGTGATTAATCTCCAAACACCTCCCTTCCTGCCCCCTTGTACATGTGGCAGTAACCTCGCTTCCTCTGTGGGTTCACCTCACCCCCCCCTTCAGCTGCGGAGCAGGCGAATCTGGCCGAGGGGGCAGGAAACAGCACCAGTTGAAGTGGTGTGCAGCACCACCTTCCTTTCCTTGCCTTTATTGCGTTGGTCTCGAGAGGACTGTCAGGTCAGGCGTGTGGGAGGATCTGCTTACCTACTCTTTTGGTAGCATTGACTGGGTTTTTTTTTTTTTGGTATTTTGCTGATTTAGACCCTCTCTTCCTCTTGTGATTTCACAGAAGGGCACAAAAAGCACCCCCTGATTTTGGCCAGTGTGTTTCTCCCCACATTCCCTCTGGTATGTGGACTGGCAGCTCCGCAGTCGGATGCTGTAGGGACCATGTAAGGCCGGGAAAGCCCCTGCGTGGTGAGGTTTCTGGCGAGTATGACTAGTGCATCCCAGCACTTAGTCACAGGGGAGGTGTTTTGCAGATGTTAAGCTGCGGGGCTCTGTTACCAGCAGCTGCATGCACTTCCATAACTTTGGTGTGTTAGTTTTCAGCAAGAGACAATTCCCAGGATGGTGGGGTGACCCTGGCTGG